TTCTTTGATTGACTTTTTAATGAAAATTTAGGCTATCATACTTTTTATCCAGATTTATTTCCATGCATCTGTCACAGAACCACTCCCATTTTCCTTCCGAGTTTCTCTGAGTTTCTTTGTATTTATTTAGGTCTTTTGCTTTATGTTTTCTTCGTTGTTTTTAAAAGCTAAATATTTTTTACTGTCTTCTAAGTCTTTTTTTTTTCTCAAAGTGCTTAGAAGCTTAGAAGTTTCCGCATTATCTTTGAGCTTTTTTATAATCCCGTTTATTTTGAATTCTTCTTGCGCTTATGTGACCGTAACCAGACGATAGTAACTGATATTTGTTGTGCAACTTGAACTTGACAAGCAGCGTATATTTATTGGACTGTTGAATTTTTATGAATTAGTAAAATGCCATGTATACTGCATCATCTTGCAATAAGAAGAAGATAGGGTAGAACATAGAGACTTGATGCCACCGTTATATTTTTTCAGATAACTTTTTTTCAACCGATCTAGAACCTTAATAATTTAGGTTTACATTACAAAACTACATTTACTTAACATTACAAATTTATCACAGTTTTGGGTTTAAACACTCGAAAAGTATACTTCTAACAGATAACGAGTTTTGTAGAATATAGTAATAGGGAAAAGCTAATCATGTCCCTCCCGTACTTCGGGAGACTTGATCATTGTGAGTGGGTGACTTGATTATGCCTTTCCAGATTTACTATATTAAAATAAAACCAAAAATTGGATGCTGAAAACTAACACTTTACTCAGTCATGACTTATAACAAATAAAATTATTAAAAATATAAACAATTTCTGGCAGAAATTATACACAAAAAGTTATAAAAGTAAAAAAAAATTGTTGAAAATTGAACATCCTCAGTGACTTAGGAAAGACAAAAAGTTGGGTTTGGTAACTTTTTAAAATATTCTCATGTGCGACTTTATCAATGCCTTCTTTTTCTGGTCACTTAAAGGTATTTTACATCCCTTTTGTATGCAAATTTGATTTGAAAATCTCATTTACTAGGAAAATTTGAGAGAATTTTCCTAGTGGTGCTGTGAGAATTTTTGTATTATTTGCTTACTTTCTACCTTTTGTTGAAGTCCTGGGCCGGCTTTAGGATGAGTTCTGATCATGTCTGGGCTAGGAAAATTGGCAAAAGTGAACGGAGGGTTATTGTGCTTAATTGGTGTTTTAATTACTATTAAACTGGGAATAAGCCACAATTAAAGATAAAAATACGTTTATTGACGTTTCAATTTCCACTTCGGAAATCGTTCTCAAACTACAAACAGTAAATTCTGTTAAATTCTAGTTAATTCAATTTACTGTTTGTATTTTGAGAACGATTTCCGAAGTGGAAATTGAAACGTCAATAAACGTATTTTTATCTTTAATTGTGGCTTATTCCCAGTTTAATAGTAATTAATTTACAATGCCACAAGAAAATAGCTTCAGAACAATAATAATTGGTGTTTGTTGAGGTCTGGTGAATGTGCTAGTAGAAGTAGAAGTCTGGTTTTTGTCCTTTATTGGTGTTCGTCGTAGTTGTTGATTATGTGAAATTGATCTAGTTGAGGAGTGTGGTGTAATTATTTCAGGGGTGGTGAAAGTGCCAGTAGATATAGACGTTTACTTTCAAACTGCCTTTGGCAAATCTCACACATAAGCACAATAAATGGTTGTAGGTATTTGCGAAATGTCTCTGCCAGGTACCTCTAAACGCAACCGATCACCAAGTCTAAGCCACATTTTATTCTTTTTATGGTAACAATCATGCATTTTTATAAAGTAGTTTCATAAGATAATGTGTCATTATTATAACTATAGACACAATATCAAAATAAGAATACTTAGATCTGATAAGAAAAAGAGCTATATTAATTATAATTTTTTAATGAGTTAATACAATCTTCTTCTTGAAAATATCGAGAATAAACTATTGGCAGCTTGTAAAAAAGGATCTAGATCCGAAGCACTACTTTCGTTATTAGTAATTCCATCAGTCGTAATATCTCCCGTTATGTTTAGTTTCTGAGTTTTTTCAGGACAGTTATACATGGTATTTATCTTTATAATATCACCTTTACTGAAACCCTCCCGTTGTCCCATCTTTTCCACTTTTTTGTTATCCTGAAATTTTTAAAAGTAAAAAATTAATATTTATGTAAATTTTTAAATTTAAAAATATCAACTTTTATCAAATATTATTTTGTTGCAATCTTCAGTACTGTTAGTATAATATGACAAAATATATTCAGTTCTGTAAAATATTTAGTAGTCAATTCAATATACAGTGCTTATCTAGTCTCCAACTCATAACATATTTTCTGAACCATAAAACTTACTAACCATAAAACTTACTACTCCAGTCGTCAAAGACAAAAATGTCACTGAACCTCTAAAAATTATTCGAACAAGCTGAATTTTGCTGAGAATCTCAATTTTTGGACCCCAAAGCAGATTATAAAACGTTTACCACTTTTACCCCTGGGCTTTCCACTAAAACACCCCCTCCTAGGGGGAAAACGGATAAACTTATTTACCAAGAATATGTACGCTATACAAAAAAATATTTCATCAATACATCAGCAATACTCGTCCTTCTTCGCAGATACAATCACTCCCAGCATAGACCATTCCATTCGTCTCTGGGGCACTCTCAATTAATTTCGAAGCCATAGTCTTGGTTAGAGTCATAGTTTTCGCTCCATAGGTGATGACCGGTAATACACATTAGTCAAATACTTTTCTTTTGAGGCTAATTAGTGTGTTTGCTCTAAGTGTGTCTCGAAGTTTCTCAAAGGCTGCCCACGGTAAAGTAAATCGTCTTTGGATTTCGCATGTTTGGTTATCCCTGCTGATTTTTATTTCATGACCCAAATATGTATATTTCTCCACCAGTTCTGCTACTTTATCTTAAATAGATAAATGGTTATTGGGGACCATGTTTGTCATAAACTTTGTTTTGATCAAGTTCATTCTGAGGACCTTCATTTGAATTTTTTTGCAAATAAGTCCGTTTTTATAAGGGTGTTAAATAAATAAACATTGCGCGATTTTTGTCACTTTTTACGATTCTCATGAGGTCAACAAAATGTATCATTTTCTTTGACCTGTCACTATGGAATTTTCATTCTTAGAGCCTTCGAATCCTATAGTATGAAATTTTGGTTTGCGTTGGATTCTAAATGTAATTTTCGCTCACGCTGTTCGTTACATCCAACGATGCCATTTGGAAACATGAATTATATTTGCGAATGTTTTCCAAGAAAGGATTTGCTCACATGTAACAGCTGATAGCAACGTTAATAGTGATTTGGATTCTGGCAGTTTAACTTTACCAATAGCGCAGCACATTTCTGGCGTTTCGTTCTTAAATTTGAGGACGCTATAGTTCATGCAAATTTTATCCATTTTTAAAATGACGACACTATAAGACGACGGATGAAGACTAATCATTATTACTGTAATATTAGAAAAAACTAAGATTTAAAACAGCGTGCTGTGTTCATCTTGATCAATCGGTGTTTATTCAAACATTTTGCAGCCTTCTTTTCCGTTGTTCAGTTCTCTTAGACGAACGGGCTAGAGTAGAACGTATTCGATCAGCTTCCAACCTTTGGACGATTGGGTCTTAGTGGCATGGATTTGAGGATTTTTCAACCATAATACTCGTTGCTTGTCTGATTCTGAGGTTCGTAATGCTTCTTCCGTGCTTGAGGTGTAGATCAGCCAATTGCTTGTCACTTTAAAGGCATAATTGTATGGGAACGACGTGAAAAATGCGTTTGAATTTATTAGATGTCAATCAGTAATCCGAATCTCACAATGTATCCAATCCAATTGAACCGGCTCTTCACACATGGATGGAAACATTAACAGTGATCACCAAAGCATTCAGAATTGAAAAAATTAGCATTCCAGAATTATTAAAATCAATTTTAATTCCACTCACGATGATATCCGATTGAATTCAGTTTAGTTGAATTATTTATCTAAACTAATTTAACTCACAATGAAACGCACACAATGATTCGAAAAACGCTCTCAAATATAAAAATACGATTAATATTGTCTGTTTAATGTGAGCCGGACACGAATTTCACAATTTGCATAATTTTTCTTATATACCTACGTCATCGTCATCATTTTCGTTTCAATTCAAATTAGCATGAACTGTCTCGGTAATATATGAAATTAATTGGAATTACAGTGGTACAGAATCTGTCGAAAATTGGTTATACCAACTTAAAAACCTTCGTGGACTCATGCACAACAACTTTACTAAAGATCATCACATGATCAAATGCATGAATATCATGATATATAATATATTTAAAGGTACCTACACATAAAAAGAAACATACATTTTAATAACTTCTTACCTTAGGGTTAATGGTACGTTTGCCATTAGCCGAAAAAGCGGTACTGGAATAATGCATTACAGATATAAAATCGTACGGTACTCCAAAGTCTTCAGCGCTATTTTGTTCTGCTTTATTAAAATTCTTTTCCCTTCCTGATAAATAAAGATTTTATTTTAGAAAACATAGTTGTGGTTTTATATTTCTTATTATAGAACATATTCATAAAAGATCTTGTAATAAGTAAGTTAAAAAATATCATATGGATAAGTGAAAGAATGTATGAATTTATTGTTATGTTGTGTTAAGTTGTAAATCTACCCTAATATTTGTAAACCTATGTACCTTAAGGCCTATTCTCACTATAGTGCCTGGCATGTGCTCGGCTTGTGCCCTGCTCGAGACCTGCAAAATTACTTTAACGTTATTTAAATGGGTTTAGCGACGGTCCGTTCTCACTACAAGTGCTCGGAGTGGGAACGGTCCGTGCCCGGCATCGGACAATCTTTTCAAACAATATTTTTCTAGCCCATGCCTGGCACATTCCTTGCACAGTCCTACATAGTGTGAATACTTCAGACGAGTTTCGACAGGCAAAATGATGCGAAAAAATTATTTTTACATGATATTGATGAATTTTTAATAGAATTAGTTCGTGAGAGAAGTGAATTATACGATTTTATGAATCGACTGTATGCAGATGCAGCACATAAGTCTCAGGTATGGTGGGATATTGTAGACAAAATTAAAATAGGTAACACACTATATTTTATCTAGGTAATAGACCACTGCCGATAATATTTCAAACAAAAAAAGTAGTAGTAGGATGAAACTCGTTGGAAAAGAAATATGATATGACAGAAATAAAAGGAAAAATAATTTACGGATGACCTGAGTAAGGAAAATGGAGGTAGTGAGTTTTTTAAGGGCAAAAATGGTTTATCGTGATTTCCTAGAGCAAGTCGAACTACATATTTACTAAAGCAAGTAGACCTACAGAAAAAATCTTTTTGTAGTTAAAGTGCCTGGAACCACTATTGATTGGTGTTATAATTTCGATGTGCTTTCCATCTAGGGCTCCTAATGCGTTGGGAAAATTCCATGACAACCAAAATTTTTTGCCAATTTGTTCAAAATCGCATTCTGCTGGTAATTCTGCTGAAATTCGGCAATTGACATTCTATAATATATATATATATATATATATATATATATATATATATATATATATATATATATATATATATAAAAATTTTACTCATCATCCATGAGTTCTTTATACAAGGTATAGTATTCTCCTTTTATTTTTCTTTTCTTAATCATTGGATGTATCCAAAACCTCCTTTTTTAACGTTATCTCTCATATACTCTTCTTCTTCTTCGGCATCCAAAGTAAAAAAATGCAATTTTTACTAAAGTTGCAGTGGAAAACTGCACAACTACCCACCTACACGTCTAACCGACTGCCTGTGCAAAATACCGCTGAAACCATGTTACGAGCGCGAATAGTGTGAATATTTACCAAAAACATGGCATGTGCCGGTCAGGTGACGAGCACGGGCCTGGCACGTCTAATGAGAATAGACCTTTTACATTAGTGACATGTCAAATAGAAGAAGAAGCCCGACGTGAAAGAGAAGAACATACATTGAACGTCGATAGAGCGACAGACTGGTCTTATGGCTCTTTAGAGATAATTATGTATTAGCGTTGATTGAATATTTGGGTTATTCAATCAACGGTATTAGTATTAGTTTGTCTTGTAATAAATAAAATATACACAAATGAGTCGCCTAGAGAGTAGAACAAACATGGTATCAGAAGTAAAAAAGTAAGTCAAATATCGAAGAGTCATTATAACAGTTACAAAAGCTGAAACCTAATCGTGTAAACATATTCTTAATACGTGTTGTGGTGTTAAAAAGCAAAAAGAGATTTATTATTAAAAACAGTAAAGATATAAAATGGACATGGAAGAACAAGAACAAGAAGAACAGTCGAGCAGAACCAACCAGTCGTTGTAAAAATAAAAAGTAACGTAGTCGGCAATGAAATTCAACCTTTGTCAATGGAAGGAAATTTGGCCTAATGAGGATTAGGCCTAAATGGAAATTTAGCCTAAATATTTTTGAGGACGACAGGTTAGATGAGGAAAATAATGCGAGAAAGGTAGCTCTACTATTACACTATATTGGTCTAAATGCAAGAAATATTCTTACAAGTCATTTGAAGTTAACATGGATACTATAAAATTTAAAGAGGTAATAGGGAGATTTGAAAAATAGTGTAACCCGAAGAAAAATTTAACAGTAGAAAGACATTATTTCCTTACTAGAGTACAGAAAGATGGTGAAACCATCGAGGATTTCATGACTAGTTTAAAAAAATTGAGTGAATTAGGAATTTTAAAAGAAAGTTTGGTGTGTGACATGTTCATTATTGGTTTAAATCCTAAACGCCATTCAATTAAGCAAAAACTATTACAAGAAGTAGATCTGAAGACAGAAAAAGGTATTACAAATTGCTCAAAGCATAATTACGACTCAAATGCAAGCCCAACAGTTAAATAAAAATTCAGAAGCTGTGGTATACAAAGTGGAGAAGAATAAAGATGGTTTAGGTTCTAATTTTTACCAAAATACCAGTTACAAGAGTCAAAATTCAAATCATTCAAGATATAGAAGTGAAGTTCCAGGTCCAAGTTCGAGAAATGATAATCAACAGCACAACATAGGTGATACGACTGTTCGTACAAGTCAAAGTTAGGTAACAAGTCAGAACTTTAATTTTAAATCAAGAAATAATGGATATGCAAACCAGAGTAGGAATAATGAAAATATTCGAGTGGTAAGAAAGGTTTGTCTAAGATGTGGTGAAAACCATAGAAATAAATGTCCAGCATTAGTGGCTATTTATCATTTTTGTAAAAAACAAGGTCATTACGCAAAATGTTGTCAAACTAAAAAGGTAAATAAAGTAAATTTAAGAGAAAGTACAGTACAACCATCTAACAACGGAAATGATCTATATTTTGTTAGTCAGACAATTAGTCAGAATAGTATCAATCAGAATTGGTCAATTGTAATTACGTCAAGTCATATTGGAAATAATTTATGAAGGTCATTAAGGATATGAAAAATGTATTCACCAAGCACATTCAGTGGTTTTTTGGCCAGGAATGACAGTGGATATAAAGAATACAGTTGAACAGTGTCCAGCATGTATTAAATATCATAGAACAGAACCACTATTACCAGATGAAATACCGACTTTACCTTGGCAGAAAATTGGTCTTGATTTTTTTTTATTATATTAAAGTGACATATTTTATTAGTAGATTACTATTCTAAATATTTTGAAAGAATGCCTTTAAATAATACATCAGCAAAAGAGGTAGTTAGTGCAATGAAATCTATATTTGCGAGACATAGAATACTTTTGATTTTAATGTCTGATAATGGTCCTCCTCCAAAGAACAGTTTAGACTGTTAAGAATATTTTTAATAAGTATATAGAATCAGGCTCTGATCCTTATCAGGGAATGTTGCAATACTGAAATGCAGCATTAGAATGTGGTTATTCTCCAGTTCAAATATTAATGTCACGTAATTTAATAATAAAATTACCTGTTAGTGAAAATATTCTCACGCCAAAAACAATTGATAGGGATGAATATAATAAATTTGTTAGGGAAAAAGAAAGGAAAGTAAAATAATATCACGATAGGTCAGCAAGTAACCTCCCAAGTCTGTTTATTGGGGAAAATATATTTTATAAAGAGTTTTCTTCATCACCGTGGTTACCAACTAGTGTGATACAAATAGGTCCTTTTCCAAGATCATATGTTGTCAGAACACCTGAAGGTGTATATTATCGTAGGAACAGACAACACATATTAAAGCCTGCCAGTACAATTAGTAGACATAATACTGAAGTGATCGTTAAGCATGAAAATAGTACAGCAGCTAGTTCCAATTTACATGAGGCTCCAAATATGAACAATAATACACCAATTCCAATTCAAAGTAATAACAATTCAAATATTAGCTTAAATAGGTCATACAGAGAAAATGTAAATAATTAATTTTACACTAGGAGTGGTCGAATAGTAAATAGTAAAAAAGATTTTCATTTTCAGAAGACTAATGTGGCAATGTAATATTGCAAGTATATTTAATTGGTTTGTCTAGTTTAGTTTTTTTTTGTTAAAAAAAAAGTGGGCATGTTATGTTGTGTTAAGTTGTAAATCTACCTTAATATCTGTAAACCCACCTTACCATTAGTGACATGTCAAATAGAAGAAGAAGCCTGGGAGTGAAAGAGACATTCATTGAAAGTCGACAGACTGGTCTTATGGCTCTTCAGAGATAATTACGCATTAGTATTAGTTTGTCTTGTAATAAATAAAATATACAGAAATGAGTCGTCTATTATAACAAACAGCCCACAGAGTAGAACAAACATTTATTAGTTATTACACTTACATAAAATAGAGATGCTGTTAGGTATAGCATACTGTGATATAGTTTAAATTTTTATTTATTTCTGTTACACGTGTCAGTAACATCTTTGGATCCCTTCTTATTGGATCTACCGGTTATCATACCACCGTTTTTTCCACATCATGGTTTTCCTGTATTTCTTTGGTCGTTTATTTGCCCCGTCAATAATGAATTCTAGATCGAGGTCATTATCTACTAGAATAACTACTTAGATCATTATAAAAATTTAAATTAAACAATCGGTATTCTCATGTTTGGATAATTTCTGCTCCATTTATTTAGCAGAGACTTAATATCAAGATTAAACAGGCATATAAAAGATACATCGTTTTTTAAAGCTTAAGATAGCAGCTTAAGTGGATAACCATCTTACCAAAAAACTGTTTTATATGGTAATCTTACTTCTTGAACAATTAAGGGTATATGTTCTCATAGTTTAAGTCGAAGAAAATCTAGTACCACTTTTCTAGATAGATAAATACATGTAAACCTGGTTTTCAAGAGATATTTTTTTACATAGTGTTAAAGCACTAATTGTTGCAACACAATCACGTTTTCTATGCATAATCTTCTTGCAACACGTCCTATGCTTTTGGTTTATTTTATGACCCATTTTAAGAAAATTTTCTTAACCAATCACTAGGATATGTTAATTTAGTAAGAATAATTATTAAATGGATATCTTGATGAGATATCTATTAGCAACTCTTAACAAAGAAAACATAGCAATTCAGATATGTCTGGGACGTAAATAATTATCGTGGCAACAAAATGTTTACATAGTCGAGAAGACAATACAAATAGCTTTGAAGCCCTCCTAGATAGAGAGAACCTTTATCTCATCTCTTAGAAGATTATACGTTACTTTCAGAAAGAGAAGAATTACTTTTTAAAAACCGATTAGTATTTAAAATTTATTATCTATATTTAAAATGTAATAAGGGAATCATACTAGATACCTTTCTTAATATTATTCCAGTTAATTGTTACAAAATCATCCCTTTCATGTCGGTTTTGTTCATGCAAAAATCCAACGGCGTGCATAAGTTCGTGCAAAGACGTTCCAATTTTAGTAGTACACTGAGGACTTTCAAGGTTAACTTCCTGAACACCTCCTTGTTTTCCGACACTAGACCAACAGCCTGACTGGTGATTCGTTATTACAATGTAGTCTTTGTCCGTTTTAGTTTTAGGTCTAAAGCTAAATAAAAAAATTATATTATATTGTTATATTATATTATATTGATTATAAAACTCAATGTATTGTAGTAATAAAAAGTTAATTAAGAGTATTGTCCAATTTAGCTATCATGAGCTTATGTAGCCAACTACAAACATATATTTTTACAAACACCAATATATATAAAAAAGAGGTTAGTCTTCGTAAGTGGGTATATCAAAAAAACAAACGTTTTCGGACTAAACAGTCCATCATCAGGTTTTAAAAATCGCTAGGTTAAAATGCCTGAGCCACCAAAAATACATGGGTAAAAACCCTTTAAATTACATATAGTTAATATATAAAAGTTTTAAATATATAAAAGTTTTACCAAGGTCATTACAAAGAGGTTCAATATCAAATTTGACGCATACCAATATTATTAGTGGTTGGCCGCCAGACCTCGACTGATCTTTGATCTTTCTACCCCGCGGGGTTCGAGTGATCAAAGTTTTAACCTTGTTTAGGTATTCTGCCTGTTCAATGGTGGTTCAAACGTGAGTCTTATGTTACCGCTATTCGAGACTTCGAGACAGGGTGGAGGCTGTAAAGCATGAGTGCTAGAAGGATTTCCTACCTTTTGGGCGCCGTATGGGCCAAGCTCGCTACTAGGTACAAGTTCCATTGGGGAAACGATCCTTCTCAGATTATTGGCCTTTTGTTTTATTTGGTTTTAAACGCGTGGAATATAGCTGTGGTTGTGTCCTCACCTAGGATCAGGTATCGTTGTGCAGTGAGATTGGGAAACCACAGAAAACCAATCTCCCCGCAATGTGCGGAGTTGGGTAAAGGTTTGGTTTATTGAGTTATTATAGCAGGAGGTAGATATGGCGTACAGTGTGTTGGACATTTGGTTGAGATAACGGATTTGTCATTCCTCTTTTCAGGGAAGACATTAAAATGGACCATAAAAGTGAAATGAATTAAGGATTTCATGTCCGAGGAAAGGTCATATGAAGGGATTTGTTTGGGATAGTGTACAGGTTAGGCTGCGGTGTAAACAATTTTTTGAGAATGCGGGCTGACCTCCATTACAGTTGGACATTTTGGATTAGATATCCAGGGGCATGCATTAGATTTATGTTTTTGTCCACAGAAAGGACAAATAAATGATTTTCCTGTGCATTCGTTGCTGAGATGTCCGGTTTTGCAACATTTCGAACAGTATTTTTTCAGTCGACACGGAACTGCTTGATTTTGGAACCTCACAATTTAGCCGTTCTCCTTCGATATTAACACCGTTCGAAAGTGCATCGGCGAATTTAGTTTCTGAGTTCGTGAAAACTCTGATACAAGAGGTGGGATGGTTTGTGGAACGGGCAATTATGCGAACTATTTTAGTGAAAGGAAATTTATTTTCGGATAAGTTATCCTCAATGATTTTCTGGGATAATTTTTTGTCGACCCCGACAATGACTAGATGAAAGATTTGTGGATCATTTGGAACGGGTTGCAGATTGGGGGAGGTTTCTGGATTTGAATCATGGGTTTATGGAGATAGTGTTATCTCGAGTGATTTGTCTTAGTTTTGCCGACAGGTCTTTGAGGTCTAGATGTTCGATAGTTCGCACCTTGGTAGGGAAGCTGCTTTTTGGGTTGGGAAAACTTTAATTGAGTCTAAGTGAGGGATTAGGTTGTGGTCTTTGATGAGTCGGTAGAAAGGTCTCTGCTGACAGATATCTGGGGGAATGTCCTCGATTCTGTAATTTTGGATCGTGTGTGGTGGTTGTTGTGTGTTTTGTGTTGTGGGTTGTGTGTTGGCTGTTTGTGTTTATGTTGTTTGTTGAGGTGTGGCGCGTGTATATGTGGGTGTATGTCTGAGGGATGGTGTTGGTTGACTGTGTGTTGGTGATAGTGTGTTTTGTGTTTGTAGAGGTGTGTAGGTGCGGGGATTTTGGGATGGAGAATCGTAATAAAGTGTATCTGCTTTGGATGTGGAAGGGATGGGATTGTGTTGCTCTGTATGTGTGTTTCTTTGTATTTTCTTCGGTGTGGTGAGTATTCTTGGAGTTGTGTTGTTTGTGTCTGTGTATTCTGTGAGTTTTTGCTGGGATACGGTTATGTGACTGTGACGGCTTGCAAATCCTCTTCCCACTCTCTTATGCTAGGAATAGTACTTGTGTAGAGGTTGGCCTGGTTTTCGGATGATTCCATTTCTAGGGTGAATGGGATATCTCCTAGGAGATTGTGGTTATTGAGAATTCGGTAAAATTTTCTATAACTAGAAAAGTTTTTTGGGATTAGTGTGATGTAGTATTTCTATGTGTTGTGTCTGTTTTGGGGTGGTGTCTATTGGTGTAGGTGGAGGAATGGGTGAAGGTGCGTTAGAAGTGTGTGTATACTATGTTTTTGATTTGTTGGGGTGTGAGTGGCGATGTTTTTTGTTGTTTGTGTATGTTTTGGACGATTTTAGAGGCAAAGTTTTATCAGAGTGTGCTCCCATTCCTGTTGCGACCTTGGTTCGTGTCCATCTATAGTGATAGACACTTGTGATGTTTGTTATATTTTGAAATGTGTTTCTGTGTCTGTCTCTGATACTGTGTCTGGTGGTTTTGGTGGTTCTTTTGTTTTCGTGCTATTGATCGTGTTCGTGGCATGTTTGTGTGGTCTGTGTACGAGTGTATGTATGTGTATATGAATTGTGTAATTTTAAGATGTATGATGTGTGTGTGTATGTGTAATTAGTATCTTAAACTGCTTGATCGATGCGCAGAACTCACTTTTTAGAGTCATCTGGCAGAGGTATCTGTCAATTTAATAAACAATTGTTTATTCTCGTTTGAAGATTTGAGGCGCACTTTTTAAGTGTATCTTTTTCGAATATTTATAAGATGCAAATTTAAACTGTATGCGGGTTATATTAAACGAAGATTGTATATTAAAGACAGTATATTAAATGAAGAATTTGACAGAAAACAGGTTAAGCTAACGTCTGCGATCTATCACAAAATATTTTAAAGACAAGAGATCTACTATCAACTACCAAAACTAGACTGAATTACTAAAATAGGTATGTAGATTTTTGTAAATACTTGTATTGTAAATGCTTATAAATAGAATATAATTAAGATATCTAATTAAGCATCTAATACTTCTACTTGTCGTAATTTTATAAGGATTGACATAATGCTCCGTCACCGCAGCCTGGTACATATGAAACAGACACATTGCCTCAGAAGCCTAGAATATTTCGATCAGGACCTAAATAATGTTACGAACGCGGCTCGCCTAACGGTCGCATCTCGAAGCACCCAGAAGTTTCCGCGATATATCAAAGCGCTGTAAAATTCCACCCGTCGAATAACGAATTAGAGGTGGGACTAGTCTCGAATATTCTCGAACATAATACTTTGGTATATATATGTAACGGAATTAGGAGTTAAGTTTAGTTGATAAGAGAATACCGAACTGTAAAGTTATAAATAAATATATTTATATAAATTCGAACCGCTCGTTTTATTTAAAAACGGTACAGTTGGTGTCAGGTGTGGGGTCAATTGATTTATTTAAAGATAAATCCAACAGTGAAAAAAAGAGACTTTTAAACTTTTGAAAAGTATTGTTCGTCGGGAACATCCGCGTAGTTCGGTAGTGACCTTTGTACGAAAGAACATTTATAAAAGTACGTGTGTGCCTGTACAAAGATGCTGCTAGTACAACTCTCGGTAAAACAGTTGCGTGAGCAATTAGAAGAACGCGATGAAGACTGCAGCGGGTCCAAGAAGATCCTCCAGGAGCGACTGAAGAATGTTCTTAACAAGAATGGAGATGACCCAGAGACATTCCAGTTTCAATCATCAGAAGAAACAGTTTTAACAAAAATGAATGAGAAATTTGAAAATGTCTCGCAAATGATTGAAGAATCTTCTAAAAAAAATGATGATAAATTCGAGAACGTTTCTAATAAATTTGAAAACGTCTCGCAAATTATTGAAGAATCTTCTAAAAAAAATGATGATAAATTAGAGAACGTTTCCAAAAGATTTGATGAAACATTCGAAAATGTATCTAGAAGATTCGACGAGACTTCTCAAATTATTAAAGAAGTAGCTAGACAAAACGACGAGAAACTTGAAAAGGTTTCTAGAAGATTCGATGAAGTATGTACTCAGAACGATGAGAAATTTGAAGAAGTCTCAAGAACATTCGATCAGATGCAGAAAAATGTAAACAACGTAGAAGAGAAGATCAAACAATTAGAGACCATGATAATTAACACGAAAGTGCTACCACCAATTAATACGGTAGCTTTAGATCCGGTAGTAAAAGAAGAATCACCGAGAGACGAAACGACACATCATATGAGATTCAAATTGCCACCATTTGATGGAAAGTCCTCTTGGTCTATATACCTTAGACAATTTGAAGCTATTGCGACAGCCAATCATTGGACAGAACAAGAGAAAGCTGTTTCCTTGACTACTGCTTTACGAGGTGATGCTGCAGATATCCTAAGATCAATTCCTAAGGGTCAAGAAAAATGTTACCAGACCTTGTTTACTCGACTAGACAAACGTTACGGAGATGCCCATCTACAACAAGTCTACAAGGCGCAACTAAGAAGTAGAACTCAGCGAGCAAGTGAGAATTTGCAAGAGTTTGAAGCAGATGTTGCTCGTATAGTGCGGTTGGCTTATCCGGAGGTACCAGACAACATTTTGGATGAAATTGCCGTAGATACCTTCGTCAATGGGTTAAAAGAAAGTGAATTACAGAAAGCTTTACGACTAGCAAGACCGAAAGTTTTAGATGAAGCGCTCGCTATTGCCTTAGAACATGAAACAGCTAGTCAAACTTCACGGAGCCATCGAGTAAGAACCATCGAAGAAGGCGACGAACTAAACGATGAACGTCTAGAAGAAATGGTAAGAAAAATAGTTCATAACACGATGCCGAAGAGACGCGAGCCCAGATGTTGGAATTGTGGTGACGTAGGTCACATTCGCCGCAATTGCAAGAAAATGATACAACAGTCGGAAAAC